CACTGACAAGCGGGAAGTTTCGCACCTGTTCTGGAGATTTCTAGAACTATCTGGAATACCTGGAGAAAAGTATATAAGCGACGACGAGAACCAGACCAGGGGAGTGAAGTGACAGGAGCGACCAAGTGCAGAAGAAGTTAAACTCCGGGAGCCGGAAACGCGTGTTTTCCGTGTGTTATTGTTATTGTTAGTGAAGTTGACGGTAACTTTGAAGTTAGTTTGTTCCTGTTCCGTAGTTAAAGTTGTACCGAGTGGAATAAAAGTTGTAAGCTGAAGAAAGAGTTAGATACTCGGCCATCCACGGTACAATATATAAAATTATACACAATTATTTAACCCGTTTCTATTTCACTTTATTGACAAATCTTAGTTATCGACTTTTAAAAGTGACTTTTTTGTTTATTTCCATTTGTGAATTAAAATCATTAAATAGGGTATCAAAGTAGCAAAACAACCGTGCATGAAATGCCCCGAAGATGATGCGAACGTCGGCGGTAGAAATAAAGCTTCATATTTTGTTTGATATCAAGTAGAGTCAATTGGCAACACGAAATCCAATTGAAAATTAATTTTAGCTAGATATATTTGAACAAGTTGCAAAAAGTATTGTGACAATGATGAAATCCAAAGTTTTAATCAATTTATTTGTACCTGGATCTCCTGTATCATGAGGTACAGTGTTTGGCTTTTTCCGCTCGACTGTTTTGCCATCGGAAACCATCTTCATTTTATCGGGCACCTCCAAAAATATGTAGTCTCTCAGGTCGTACTGAAGAGACTTTTGAAGTTCCGGGAAATTTTTGCTTAGTGCATGAGATGCGTAGAAATGCACGTCATACGAATTATACATTCGGTACTCATGGCCTTCCAAATACGCAAATCTACCATATTTTTTTCTGGAAGGAAAAAAAATACCGCAAAAACTTATAATTGTTTTACTGCAAGGAAAACCTATGCATTTAATTATGGTCTTTGATGCTAAGTTATATCGGGCCATCTTCACAGATTAAAGTGCCAAGCGAATATTAAAGTGGGTTTGTTTGACTTGCAAAATAAAAACACAGTTTGTGAAATGTATTACCTCGAGTCACTAGTATTTAGTGTTTTAGCAAATTCTTCTTCTAAGCTCAACCATACAGTGCCGCCGTCGCTCAAAAAGTACGATTCATTGAAAAGTGCAGATTTATACCAATCTGGAAGATCACTGAAAATATGAAATTACTATTACTTATTATTATTCTTAAATTTCACACTGGTTCGCTTTGTTACATTTTATACTCCAATTACAACTTCTAGAAATTGTTCATTCATAATTATCTTATTTTCAGCTCATGAGAATAACTTAAATATCGAGGGAAGAGTTGAATTATTTGAAGAAAAAACCTTACCCGTCATCTAAAATAGGTTTTTGCCATTCATAAATCTTGTCTTCCCACATTGGATAGTTCTGCAATGCGTGGTTGACTATTTTCAATGCTGCATTTTCTTTCCCGAACTTTTCTGTGTAAAATCTGAAAAACAATTCCCTATTAAACTCTCCATCCTAACAGTGACGCGAGTGATGTAAAAAAATCATACCTAAAATACTTGTTCTGACCTACAGGATAAATGATGCTGGGCATATCCCAGGCCAGGACCATTTCAAAGCTTTGAGATGTGTTCCCAAGAAGTTTACTTTTTGCGGAAACCCCCACAGCCATTTCACCAAAAATATGATGGGTTTTACTGGGCTCACCTTTGATTTTGTCAAATTGGCCATTGTCCTTTAGCTATTGAAAATAGATAAATTAGAAATACTTTTTARCTAAGTGTATTTCTAATTTTTGTAAATAACTCGTGRTCTGAACAAATACCGATAGATAGATATGGAATTTGTTAATAGAAAGGAATTAAAAAATTWAGCAATTATTTWAAGTWCGCAAAAATGGAAGTCAAAAACTATTTTTTAAGAAACACTTAAACGCACCTAMKATATAGATTWAGTTTGTCTTTATGCACTTAATTTTACAAMCAGTTATTTTTTCAACGAAACTTGCTTACTACTAATAGATTAAACAAACGAAAAGTATTAGAGGAAATTTAGTTCTAATCCGATAAAGTCAGTAAAATAAAGAAAAAATAAAAAGKACGAGTAAAATATTACCTGAKTCCATACAACCGAACCATTTGAATTTGGATCAAAATGCAAGCATTTCGATATGGCTACCCCATCTGCTGCTTTTACACCTAATGAATAAGAACACTGCATTTTGTCTAATTTATGGTAGAGAATTACGCCTTCCAAATTCTGATACGAAAATGCTTTAGAGCTACACGATGCTAAAACGGCAAATGAACATGCAACATTAAATTGCGGTCTGGTGGATTTTTTTCTCAGCACTCACTTTCTTTGTCGGCTTTCTTTGAACCAGTTCCGTTTTTGAAAGTAAAGGAAATTGTTACAGATCGTTCTTCATCACCTATATTTTCCACGTTCCATACAAACACTGCACATGGCATGCAACTATTCTAAGAGGCAGAAACATACGCTCTATAAAAGGTATCTATATATACTTATGTAATTGCCCCAATATCCCAAAGTAATGAATATTTTAAGCGGCAAATGTACTTTCACTTGGTTTTTAATTTTTTCTAAATACGCATGGAAACCAACGGACTATTACAGAGCAGAGAGCGTTGGTCAGTCAAATAAAGATCAGCTTTTTGTTTTTGTGAATATTTTTCAATGTAATTTATTTATATTTAATGATATTTAAGTTCGACTCACTTCATAATCATGCGGTATCACTGGACTAATTTGCCTGCAAGTGAGTTTGATCCCAAATTCCGAGAGATCAAAATAACTCCATGCTCTCGGATACAGTCCTGTGTAGTAACATTTATTTCCATCAAGAAGACTTTGCCAAGAAGGCAAAGACGTTTTCCTGCAAAATATACCACAAGTTCAGCTTGTGCGTCAATAATTATGTGTAGCAAATGGAACTATATAGAAATTCCTTAGAAAATATATCTTTCTATTTACGAAAAAATTGTTAAAAAAATTAACTGGTGGTATTACTAGTAATATAAGATTTTACCCATTTTTAATACCTACTAAGATTTTTGGACCCAAGAATTAGGTCCACTTTAAAGATTCCAACTTCTTGTAAAAATCCTCCCTGTACAACATCATTTTTTCAAGTCAACACCTGAACCCTCAATGTAATTTTTATTGATTTTATATTATAAATACAGGGTGATTCAAAATTGGCGTCATTCCTCTGGGGGTGTTGTCTGGCGGTGTTATAGGAGTACAGAAAAACTAGTAAAATAAATTAATTGTTA